TCTTTCTTTCTTTCTTTCTTTCTTTCTTTCTTTTTCAAATCGAAGCAAGAACTTTCACATCTACACATTTAAATATAACTCTGTACCTTTATCCTTTGCTCTTCACTTCTTTGCCAGTTTGCACCCTCTTTTACCTCAAATCAGATATAAGTTATAATCTGTGGGCTTTCCTTTACACTCTTATTACAAGAAAAGTGAGATCTCATAAACTGTAGCCTACGTAAGGCAAGTGCTGTTAGAAGACAGCCCCTAGATGATACAGGTAGTTTTAGCCAAGGGTTCAGTGTGATGTACAGAAAACAAAGGAAATGAATCTCTAGTTTTGAAAAGTGCTTAGTATTAATTATGTATTAATTATTATTAAGTATTAATAATTAATTAGTAATTAGCAAAAGCAACTCTACAATATGACTGGTATCACCCCTATAAAATATGCCTAATTTAAACATGAAATGTCTTGAATGGCTTTTATCTTGTACATTAGTTTCTGGAGCTAGAGAGAATGCCAAGTACTGAACTACAAGATATATTTTACCTTTTGATTAGAAGCAATTGTATTTTTAAATGATTTTGACCAACATTTGAAACTTTTTTTTCATTTGACTTTGAGCATTATTTTCAAGCCAATTACTCAGAGAGAAATTAGGAGAAATGGCAGAGAACTCATCTTGAGCATATCAATTCTAAATTTAGAATGGTTTTTAGGATCTAGGAAAGGATAATAAGAATGTAGAAATATTTAAGATATTCATAAAATTAACTCTGAATGTATTGGGTGTCCCGGGGAGAAAAGAATTAAGGATCCTGTGATATATATTTGTAATCTCACACCAAGTCCCAGCATCATTGCTAATAACTATTTGACCTTAAGCAGACAGTCAACTACTCAACATCTTTTTCCCCACCACAAAATGGCGAGTGTGGACACATTTCTCAGGTCCCTTCAGTTCTAATACTGTAGGGATCGCCAGGGGAGTAGAGCTGAGGTCAAGAGAAGTATCACTTCAGAGCACCAGCCCAGCCAACAAGAATAGAGAGCACACAGTGGTTCATGCTGTGGCGACCTCATCATGGTTGACCCTTGGTGACCGTCTCATCTTCTAGCTGAGGGACTTGATGGACCAGCTCCCAAGAGAATGGCTGACTTGGCCACATGACAGTGAGGGACAGAGCCAGGTGTCAGAGTCCAGCTGTCCCCTGCCCAGCCTGACTCATCAGAGCTAAGGATAGTTCCCACTCATGAAGACTGATAACATTATGAGGACTTGCTTTCTGTTATTTATAGGCATTAAATTTGTTAAATCTTAACACCCACCTTTTGAGGTAAATACTGTCACGACCTCCACAAAACAGGTCTCTGGAAAGATGACAGTCCTTTGCCCGAGGTCACATAACTAGCTTGTGGAGGGCCTGGGGCCAATACAGCAAAATGAGAAAAATTAAATGTTACTGTCTCCTGCGCTGCCCACGTGCCTGTTATCAGGGATCCTCACTGTGACGTCTGTGTGATCAGCAGCCACATGAGGATTCCAAGAGCTGCATCATTCTGCAGTGAAACCTCTTGTTGAATCAGTCAGAGCTTCAGTGAAGGGCCCCCTTTCTCACCGGGAGCCACTCCGTTGGCGGCAGCTCAGCCGGGCAGGCTGCTCAGGGCTGGAGAACCCAGGTGGTAGAAGCCACCTTCATATGCCCAGCAAGCTCTCCCGCCACCCACCTCCCCCTTACTGACAACAAGAAGCCCCCCCGGGAACCTGCGCCAACTTCCTTTCTTGTTTGTGTTGAGCCTCAAGAAGAACCAAACCACCTACAAAAGATTTGCTCCCCTGCTAGACACCCCAGCCCCTGCGAGGGCTCCCCTCGTCTGTCAGGTCGCCGAGGTCCTCTGATGACCCGGTGAGAGTCTGAGCTGATCAGAATGTTTTCATCTTCCAAGTGCTGCTTTGGCCTTATGTTGGTTTTCAAGGGCAGAGAAAAATTTATGAAAATAAGTTAGAAAATATATGCCACTTCTTCAACCAAAAGTATTAATATTTATTATCCTAAACACACACACACACACACACACACACAAGCATGCTTGGAAGCTACCAGGGAAGACTTCCAGCGTGAAGCCCTACTGCGTTTTCTAAGCTGTTCTGCTGGAGACTGGCGATCGTGGGTGTGCTGGGGTTAGGCTGCCTTGTTCTGAGGGCACGTGCACACGGCTTGGGCTCACCAGGCTGCTGTAGCTCCATCGCTCATGGCCCTCTGCTCTAACACGTATTTCCCCCTTTCTAGGCGTGTTTGCTCTCTTCTATGTCAGTAACCAGTTTCGGACTTTCCCCTTCTCCATCAAGGACCAGTGCATCATTTTCTACAGTGGTGTCCGAGGAGCTGGAAGTTTTTCACTTGCGTTTTTGCTTCCTCTGTCTCTTTTTCCTAGGAAGAAAATGTTCGTCACTGCTACTCTAGTAGTTATATATTTTACTGTGTTTATTCAGGTTGGTAGAGTTCTTTCATATTTGACATAAGTAGAGTCTTCCCAGGATTATGTATTAAATTTGTTTAATTTAACCAAGAAAGGGACACTTTATCTGATTTTCAGGCATGCCCTCAATATCCAATCTAAATTCCCAAATATTTCTAGATCATGTTTTTGGTCATCCTGTAACTTTTCAACGTTGTTGCCTTTTAATCAATAGAACATATTCATCAAAACATTCCCTGACAGATGAATGACAGCTGCTCTAATGTGAATTGCTGACAGTGAGATTCCAGTTAGTCATCAGTAGCACATGCTTTTATTTTAGCTGAGTTATCTCTCAGCAAACCAATGAGAGGTTGTTTTAAGGAAATAAACTAAATTCCTGCTTTAAAATACAGACTAAGGGCTATTTTCATTGCACAGCTTAAAAGAATTAAGTAAGAATGAAAGTAAACACTGGGGCATTTATCCAGCAGAAACTAGTATGAAACAAAGACATAGAAGTTGGAAGTTCTAATCGTTTTGCTATAGTGAGAACCTTCGTTATAATAGACCCCTTTATTTTGCTATTTATGATCTAGGGAATCACAATTGGCCCTCTGGTCAGGTACCTGGATGTTAGAAAGACCAATAAAAAAGAATCCATCAATGAAGAACTTCACACCCGTGTAAGTCATCTCTTGGTCATAATTAATAAGTTATTGGTAAACAAAAACTATGAAGAGATTGCATTCATTCCTAAATTCCTATAAACAATTTGGAGAAAACCAATGCAGTATAATTGACTTGAATGGTGAAGTGTAAATACTGAGACAAAATGATCAGATGAGGCACATAGATACATTTGGTTGATATATGTTACTAGTATCATAGACTATAGCTGTAGAGCTGTATTTCCAGAAACTGTATATATTAATTGTGAAATTAAAACTAACAGTTAATTATTAAGCTTTACATCCATGTGATTTCAGATTTCCTAGATCATTCTGGAAAAATGTTATTCAGAGCGAATGGCGGGTACCTTGTTCTCATTGCAAGTTACGTGCTTTAATAAGGAGCTTATCTGCAGAGACTTTGAGTCACGAGACTGAGCTGCATTACTGGGAAAGGCATGAGTTTGTTACGTGAACAGAGTGATAGAAAAGAAGATAGACTCTGGGAAGTTTTCCCAGAGGCTTTTGTTTTCCAAGGTGGTTCAGAGTTAACGTCTCCCCAGCAATCATGTTTCTGTTTGTTTTGGCAGTTGATGGATCACCTGAAGGCTGGGATTGAAGATGTGTGTGGACAATGGAGCCACTACCAAGTGAGAGACAGGTAAGGAGGCTGAGGGTCTCACCATCGAGGGAGGATGCATGGGACATGGGCCACCTCAGGAGGTTCTGTTGGAAGCTGACATCAAATTAGAAGGAATCCCAAGGAAGGGGACCAGGAAGATAAAGGGCCTGGGAGCCAGGCCCTACAAGAAGCATCGGAGGTCCTGGGAACGCCCAGCCTGGGGAGTGGAGATTCCCAGGCAGAGGAGGCTGTAGACTCGGGCCAGGCTGCTTCAGACAAAACTAACAGGACTGACAGGTGGAAATTAGAGATGCCAGGTTCAAGTTTAAAACAAGGACAAGCTTCCCGGCGATAAGAGATGCTTACCTGGGGAGTGAGAGGCTTCCTGAGGCTGCAGAGGGAGTTGGTGACTCATCAGGGACCCTGGGGAAGAGAGTCCCCCATCACAGCGGTGGCTGCAGCGGAAGATCCTGAAGGCTCCTTCCCATGTCAGGAGCTCGCGGACGCCGAAGCCCCTCTTCCCCGCTGCGTCTCGCACTTCAGAAAGCAGTCTCTTCTTGATTTGGTTACAGCCCCGTGTCTTAATGACGTGGCTCTGAGGAGAGCTTGATGGTTGACGGGGAAGATGTGTGTTCTTGAGTTGTGCACAGCCACTAGGAGCACGCAGGAGTTAGCAGTAGTTGAGTGAACCAGACTGAGACATTTCCTCTCCAGGGCTTTGCCGGTGAATTGAAGTTGGTGATGCCGAGAGAGACTAGATCTTTAAAAGTCTGGCTCTTGTGGGGTGGTGGCACCAAAAAGGGAAAATGACAGCTTTTGGGTTGGCTTTTTAAAATATAAGGTAGAACGAAGGAGAGTTTTATCTCCTCAGAGTGTTAAAGTGGAATTTAAGTGATGTGTCTATTCCCTGATCTAGAATTTAGGCCGTGGGGTTTTTTAAGTCCAAATCCCAGAGTCACCCCAATGAAACGTCGTTCAGTATGCTCCCATTTAGCCAAATCTGTAGCTCATTTTCTAAACACTAAGGCAGATGTTAAGAACAGGAAGGAACACTCGGTGCCTTCCTCACAATGTAGTGGACGGGGCCCTCTGGGAGGAAAGAGAGAAGCAGCCTGACAGATAATTATGGTCAACAAATCATCATGTCATAGCAGGGGCAAATGCACAGAATGATAACAATACAGCAATGGGAGTGAGTTTTGAAAATAAAGGAGTTCTCCAGGCAAACAAGACGGGTCCTGTCCTCGGGAAGCTCCCCATTCACACCTGCCACGCAGGAGCAGCCGCAGGGGTGCGTTTCCATCTGCAAAGGGAATGAGGGGCGTGTCGTGGTTTGGATGCGGTCAGAGAGGTGACACGGGGAGACAAGGACGGACAGAGGCGCTTTTATGGCGCGCAGTGCGATGGAGCTCTGTACAGCCATTACTGCGATGAAATTCGACTTGACCTTTAAAACTCACATCCAGAGGCTTTTACGTAGGAGAGCGGCGTGGCCACGTGTGGCTTTTGGAACGCAAGCTACAGCAGCGATACGGAAGCCGGGTTAGAAAGCGTTACGGTGAGGAATTATCTCTCACGTCTCTCCTTGACAGCCCCGTGTTATCACTGCTGTTGTCATTTTAAAGACAAGGAAGGCAGTTAACCTATTCTGTGGCAGAACCTTGATTTGAGTTCAGGTCTGGTTTTAAAGCCTTTTGTTTTGAACCACAGAGCTTTCAGGCTAGTGAGGATCAGGAGCTTGCAGAAGGGGTCCTGGGACCCTTCTCAGGTAGGCGCGGTGGCTGGCTGAGGCGTAGGGAAGGGAGAGGAGGGAAGCGCCAATGAGAGTGGCCGTCGGATCTCCAGGTGGGGAGCTTGGCCGCTGACACGGCTGTGGTTAAGTTACAGACTGTAGAAGAAGGTTGAGAGTTAAAGAACAGATTCTGCTTAAGATGCCTCAAATATTTATTCCACCCTCTTTGGGAATTTAGTCCCAAGTTTACAAGGACATCGTGGCTGCTGATAAAGTTTGTGAGTGGTCCGTGAGTGTTTGGTACCCAAAGCCATGGGCGTGGGTGAGAGGACTACAGGCGTGTGAATGGGGAGCTTCCCGAGGACAGGACCCTGAGAAGCTCCCGTGCCTGCGGGGCAGGTGAGGAAGAGGAAGGAGCAGAGGAGACCCAGAGGGAGTTGTGAGGGGGGATGGAGTGAAGCAGGTGGCTGATGGGACCAGGGCAACAGCAGCCGCTGGCCGAGAATGGCACAGGTTCAAGGTGAGCTCAGGCGATGGGTGTCAGAGAAGTCCTGATGGTTGGCGGACCGGTTGCAGTGGGGTGAGGAGTGGACAGGAGCAACAGCCCCTCGTGAAGAAAGGCAGAAAACGAGCAGGCGAGGGCGTGATCCGGTTGGAGCCAGGGCGGGCCTGGTATGAGCCAAACACAGATCGTGGAGCTCAGGGCATCACTGCCTTCCAAACCAGAGGAGCCTTGACGGATGAAGGGTCCCCCCACCTCACTGACCAGGACACCGATCAGCAGAGCAGAAGCCACCAGCCCAGGAAGTGAAACAGGCAGACACATCATTCTCTGCTTGTAGAATGACTGCAGGGGTTGAAAACTCCTTCCCCCAACAAAGGGCCGATCTGAAGACACCAACTGCTCCATGTGGCTCAGGCCAGTGGATTGGCCGGAGATCTGCTGCCATAGTCAGTTGTCACCAGGTCCACTCTATGCAGATGCTCCGTCATTCGGACTGTCAGGGTATCTGAGGGTTCTCCCCGCAGCCCTGCCTGATTGGCAGGATGCAAAATGATCTCCAGCATAATGGGCACAACTACTGCAGCTACCCGGGCATTTACACTTACTGGGTTCTGGCTGGACAGGCCGGCGTGAGTGTAAGCGCAGCGGTCACTGTTACGAGCTGTTGGACTGGGACATGTGTTCACAAGCTCCAGCCCCCTCATTTCTCCTCTGACAATGGGAGCTGGCCTGGCTGGGCCTCCCCCACTCCCCACTTAATGCACAATTTTCACCCTGGTTACAGCTTGTCCCTTCCTTTCGTTTGGCTGATTTTCAATGTATTCAGTCCACTAGGGCATCATTTATTTATTTAAAAAAATGTACATTCTATGATTTTTTTTAATGGGTTCCAAGTCTAATAATTCCAGGCATGGTCCTGGTGTTTTTCAGAATAAAATTAAGCGGTAGTTTGTTATAAGGAAAATACACTCTTACGTAACACGTACAGAGGTGAAAGATTTCCAAAATGTTGGTTTTCGTTTCTTTAGGTTTAAGAAGTTCGATCATAGGTATTTGCGGAAAATCCTAATCCGAAAGAACCTGCCCAAATCGAGCATTGTTTCCTTGTACAAGAAGCTGGAAGTGAAACAAGCCATCGAGATGGCCGAGGCTGGGGTTCTGAGTTCTGCAGCCTTTTCCGTCCCCCGTCCGTAAGTCACATCTGCCCCTTGATCTCGACTGTCACCATCAGAATTACAAGGGGCACTAAAATCCACTGTGCTGTTTAAAGATAATACCAGCAGTGAAGGGACAGAAATATGACAAAGGAAAAACTTTAAAAATATGATCCAAATCTTGGCATTTTGCAGCTGGGTCCATATTCAATCTGTTTCACCTCGTTTCTGAAAATTTCCTTCTGGTAGAATTACCTACTATAGTTGAATGACATCTGTCTTCGGGAGGGAGGGGCAAGTGAGTGTACGCAACATTTATAGCCTATTTTACAAGTCTTTTTCTGGCTCGTCCTATTCGACACGTCTGCCCTTTAACCCCGGCTCATTTGGTTGATTCTGTAATCCTACCCTTGCCCTTCTCCCGTAAGTCAGTTCTCTCCCTGCCTCACGTGAGGAGAGACCAGG